GTTGAAGCGCCTTAACGATCTCTGTGCAAGGCTTAATGCTGATTTACTGTGGAGGAGGATCGTTATTGCCCCACTCGAAGGGAGAGCTTGGGAGATAGCTAGTGGCCAGGAGGTGAAAAGCCTCGGAGAGACGCACGCGAATCCCTTTTCCACGGGCGGCGGCGTGAGGCTCAAACAGATGCTTTGGTAACGTGCGGGTTTTATTTTTATTTTTTTGTCCCCCTGGTGAAGTTGCCCTGGCTGCTCATCCTAACTGTTGCGAATTCACTTCATAATGGGACTTGGGAAAGCAGTTGAACACCTAAATAAAAAACACAACCATTCTGACGTTCTATGACAGGATAGTCACGGATGTGTGTGTGTGTAGGCGCTGGAGAATACATCCCCTTATGCAAGGATCTGTTGGCGTCGAGGGCGACTACGTTGGCCAGCAATCCCGCTTTGCTTGCTCTAGCTTCTTTTAGAACAGTGTGACTTAAAAAGTCTCCGGCAAAACTCAACAGCTGGCTCTTACAATCCATTAAAAGCAAAATCGCTGGCTTTGAATTTCATGGAACACGTTTCCACTAACTTCACCGGGTGTCTTCTCCATTTAGGTGTCCACCAGGAGCCACTAGACAAAACACTACCTACCTGAACACTTGTTTAGTTCAGCTTGTTCTTCCGCATCCTTGGAAAGTTTAGTAAGTTTGGGGCACGACAAGACAAAGCTATCTGCAGGTGGCAGACGGTTATCCACGATATTCAACTCGGATGATTTTGGTGGGATAAAGCAACACGACTTCGTTAGTCTTCCTATTAAAAGAATTTAATTGAACAGATTTGAGTATTCTGATGGGTAACATCAATAGCAAATTTTACACATTGATTTTTTTTTAAAAAAAGAATGTTGTCTCCTTATTTTAAACTGTATTTTAATTAGACCTAGAAGTCCTACTCAAGTATGTGTACTCAGATATAACACCACACTGTTCTTCATTTAGGATTTCCTGATCACTAGTACACATTTGAGGTTAATATTCACTGCCAAGAAGTGGATTTTCAAAGGGGAATTGTATCCAGCATTCCTTCCACTTGAACGTTCAACACGATTTAAGGTATTTTTCAGTGTGCGATGTTGTAGCGAGGAAAAGATCATCTTCTGACTTTAGGAACTGAAATCAAATCGTATACAGTATTGTGCGACAAATGTTAGCTCTGCATTTTAATAGATCGGTTGATCCATGGGTAGGATACTGGACCAAGAAGGATGCTTTCACAGGAGAAGATTATACTGATCTTTAATGTTATGCCTCTACTGTGGGTGCCATGTAAGAATTGCACTTGCACCTTTAGCAACGTTCACACGGGATGACACCGTGCAAAGGTTTGCTCTTCACATTACCAGGGAAACCTCGTTAGGGTTAAATGAATGAATCCATGGCAAAAGACTGGTTTTCCTGAGCAGCGAGACATGTCTTATGATTTCCCCGCCTCGATCTCTCTTGAAAGTCCAGCTTCCTGACCTGGAGACGCAACGAGGCTCCTTAGACAAACGCGCGAGGTTAATAAAAAGAAAAGGGGTGGAGGGGATATCCTCTTTGCTCAAAAAGAGCTTGCAAATACACCAGCGTGCAACCGCAGCCCGCGCCGATTCAACCCAGCGGCAAGGGCGGTCGCGCCCCCGCCACCCTCCGCCAAAAAAGTGGGCGGGGCCATTCCTTGGTTTCCAGTTCGACTTTTGACCCCCCCCTTCCCCCAAATCGCTGCGATCGCTTACGATTTCGCTCGTTTTCACCCATCTTTTGCTTCTTTAGCCGCCGCTGCCGCCGCCGTCATAAAGAGAGCGTCTCTGCTCGGCCCATATACTAGATTGAGGTTAGAAAAGGTGGTGACTGTTTATTTAAGGTGATAAAATGGTCCATCAGCAGTAATCTCCATCGATATGTGCCACAAGGAGATGAAGGATGAGGGGACAAGGCACAATTAATTGCCCTATAGTTTTGTAGGAGAGAGTGGAGGC